ACTAGGCGGGAATGTAAAAGCCCCACTAAACTTGTCAATCTCGTAGAATATAAAAGATTTAGAAGTTGTGAAAGTGATGTAAGAAGGGAGGTACGAGGACAGGGGTCAGGTAAATGTATCAGGACAGAAGGACGAGTGACAACTGAACCATTTGATAGAAGGTTGGTCAAGCGACTGACTTGTCTCTTTTTCAAGAGTTGAAGCTTGGTGATGAGAATGGCCAGACTCACTGACGATGCTGACTACGTGATCGGCAAGTCGTCTAGGAACGTACCAGGCGCACGATCAGACGCTGGAAATTATCCTAACTACTATAGCAGACGACTTCGGCCAAAATAAATTCAAATAGGTCGCACTGGCAACACGAACAAGTTGCGAAAACGAAATCAAACCATGCACAGTACCGATATGACCAAGTTGCGAAAACAAGGTCAAACAACTTCTATACAACGAAAGGAGACTGCGACCACACAAAACTTCCTACCAAAATGACCAAGTTGCGAAAACAAGGTCAAACAACTTCTATACAACGAAAGGAGATTGCGACCACACAAAAGGCTGTTGTGAAAGCAAGGTCAAACAACTTCTATACAACGAAAGGAGACTGCGACCACACAAAAGGCCACACCATCTTGCTCTTCATACCTTCCGTGCACAATAATGTTGAATTAAGCTGGTTGCATTCTCGAATTCAGCATAGACCACTAAGGGGAAGAAGATGGAAGACTATGAAGATTGAAATGGAAGACAAAATGGTAAGAGTAAAGGGGAACTAGATGTAAACTGGCCCTGAAACAAAGAATTACCAGTTTTTGATTCCGCCAGTTTGACTAGTGATGGCTGATGAGGAAGGACAGATCGCATTTAAGGGAATGCTGTGAACTCGGTGTTACGAAGATGAGTAATGTCGGTACTTAAGCAAAGCTCTATTTGGTTATGCGAGGAGGCATTTAGTTAAACGAGGAGGCTGGCAATGGATTAGAGGAAACTAGATGTAGTGTAAAGAAGTCGGTGGAGCTATGATACTGCTGACTGAGTAGCAACTACTTTAGTGGAGAAAAAGGAATCCGGAAGAATGTGA